TCATAACAAAAATAAACACCGGTATTCGGTATGAACCAGTATACCGCCCAGCACTACTGCGTGTGTACTTACATATACATAATAAATATACACAGCACACACACATATATTATGCAAACAAAAACGTTTATTTTGGATGCGATTAATCGCGATTAATCGTTTGACAGCACTATAGTTAACACTATCATACAAGTCGCCAAACTAATGACACATCTTTTGGAAACCTAATTGCCTAATAAAAAGCACACAATCAACAGCAAAATCACCACAAATATACACTGAACGTATCGCCCAGCCCTAGATGGCTTCTGTTTCTCTACTCAAGAATATGTAAAAAATCCTCTCAGATGAAGTTTTACCCATCATCCCCCGCAAGTGTATGTGTAGGCATCTGTTATCTAACCCAAACATCACAACAACACAATAATATGTCTTTTTAGCATTCGTTTTTCCACCCATCAGTGCATTTTTTTATGATAAGGCAGATCTCTTTCCACCCTCTTCCCCCCAGTGTTCAACAGAGGGGTACTGAAGAGCAGTGGAACCTCAGAAGGCTCATTCTCTCTTTGTTCTATTATTCACCAGCCCGGGCTTCAGAACTCACCCGCTTCTCAGCGGGTTTGGAGATCTGCTCGGATTTGGAGAATATACTCGGATAGATCAAGCAAGCAAAATGCAGCGTCTCCGGAGAGGTGTTTCTACCTTGGACCGGGACCCGCTTGCGAAGCAGTGCAGTTCTGTGCTCATTAAAGCACAGCGTCATTAATAAGTTGGAAACTGGTGCCACTCATTTATTGATACAATGTTCATCATTTCACTTGATTAAAATCTTTTGATCTGAGATAAACCATTGTTATTGATCATTTACACCAAGTCACAAGGCACCACAACTGTTTTAATTTTAGCATTCGAGAGTATTTGTTTACCCAGAATACTCATTTGTACCAGCATAAACAGTTATTTGTGAGCTAAAGGCGCATGTTTGTTTTTCCTTTTAGACTCTTCAGTGTCCCACGGGCATAACATACACTTTGGTAATAAGGACCAGACAAATGTTTAGCACAAGCAGCGTTCGAAGCTTTGATGTACTTTTAGATTAAGTGAAGTCTACAGTGATGTCTTCAAAAATACAAATATAAAGGGAGCAAAGTTAAACTATCTTCCCATCTGCACTCTTCCCCAAAGCAGCGATCATGAAAGGCTCTGTATGTAGTGCTGTGGCAGCTGGAGATTTGTATGGACCTTGTTGAAAACTTCTGATGAACCGTTCCCCGATGAGAAGCAAGCTAAAGAAGACCTTCAGAGGGATATTTCTCTGACTTATTATATCCCAGCAGAAACTGTACTTCAGTGAAAAGCAAACTTTAAACATTAGCTGCTTTGAATCAAGATTGGTTTAATAATGATCTAAAGCCCTAGAGAACCCTGCTGATCAAACTTAGCATGCCGTATATAAGCATGAGACATTTTTAAAAATAAGATCGTTTCAAAATCCTGTGGCAGAATTTTCAAGCTTTTCTTGTTCAGTCGATATAAGAACAGGGCTAATCCCTCCGGATATCTATTTACTGTAAATTACATTACGTCATAAATAATTGAACACAAACAATTCACAGTTATCAATATCTATTTTTACTGTTGAATTTCTTAAATAAAAAAAGCATGAAATGCCCTGTATATTCCTTTAAAAGTTTAAAAATGTTAGATTAAATAGATTTCTAAATTTTCTACAAAAACATGAGTGGTGCCACAATGCTATAAATAAATAATAAATAAATAAATGTTAACTAAAACAATAATAATAATAATAATAAAATCTCAGCTAGTTGCCAAGGCAATATTTCTCATTTTCATTTAGTTTAACTGGATGTGCCAAAATAACTAAAAATAAAACTGAAATAAACATTAATAAACACTATACAGACATATTAAAAAAACTAAAAAGTACATATAATTACAACAACACACAATAAAATTACTAAAACTTGAACTAAAATGAAAATAAAATATATAAAATTAAAAATTAAAACACAATATAAAACCTATAATTTTATTTCAATTATACTAAAATAACACTGGTCATATGTATTGGTACACATGCTTTTACAATTATTTTGAGATGGGAAAATTGTTTTGAGTAGTTGCTAAGACATTGCGGTTGCTGAGATGTACAAAGTGGTTTTTAGTGCCCTGCTATTTGTTGTATAGTAAACTCTGCAATTATTTGCAATTATGACTGAGTTTAAAATACTTCATTATTTTCATCCACAGAAAGATAAAACAATCACAGCTGTGAAGGAAACCTTTCAGACCAAGCAGCTTTTTGTACTTGAACTGGTTGCGAAATCTGCAATCAGAAAATTTTGCCTTCACGCGAAATTTCCAATAGAGTGGAATTGATATTTCGTCCATGAAATTTCGCCAAACGATGTTAAATGTGTCTACTCCTTAAGTAAGATAAGTACTGCCTGATCTGCACTTAGTATGATATAAAGTTAAGACAAAGAAAAAAAAACAGATAAAAACACCAGGATGGTGTTAAATCAGGACAGAGGCCTCACCATTCCCTTCCGATGCTCAATTAACAGCTTCTGTCGGCTAGCTTCTTTTCCAAATCGTGAATTATTTATCTTTGAATTGTTAATAAATAATAACAGAGGGCTCAAGAGACCCTGCCCGGTCAATTAGGCGATGAAGAGGACGAGTCGGAGCAACGGGGGTCGACGCATTATTAACATCAGCCCCATCTTTTACTTTCTTCATCTTCATTATATTGCTCGCCTTCAGACACAATAACGCCCTAATACAATGCCCGACTTCAAACAGCCTGACATATCCACTCCTCATTTTCTACTCACCTTCTTCTTTTGCTCCCTTTTTGTGTGTTCCCAGTTTTTTGCTATCTTTATGCATTATTCTTTTCTAGGTTGGTTCCCCCTTCTGATGACAGCTGCTTGAGAGCTTTCATTGGTGTTCTTCTGTTGAAATTCAAGAGATGGCTTAAATGGAGGAAAAGTGTGGATGATAAGTGAATGAATGGATGTACATGTGCATCAGACACAATTATTAGACATTAGCATGATTATATAGGCCTAGTTCACTTTGAAAACAAGCTAAGCCCTTCAGCGGCCATCTTGGTTACCTCAAGCGATGTGAGGTTTACTGTTTACTGGAATGAAGAACGATCAAAATCGCCGAAATTGCCATTGTTAAGTTTAATTGACATATTTCAAATAGGGAATAAAATTAAAACAACGGTCAAATAAATTGTGCTTATTTAGCCCAAATCACTATAAAAATGGGTATATCCAGATAGTGAGCATGCGCATTGGAGAGCAAACGCACAGGTGAAGCTTCTATTGAAAACTGCGATTGGCTCTTTTAACTCTAGGCGCCAATTCCAGCTTTCACCTCTTTTAAGCTCGTAAATTTGCTTACTATCCACAGAATTTTTAAAGCCATTCGTAAAGCTGATGTGCCAGGCTTGCGTCATACATGTTATTTATGCTGCTTAATATTGCAGAGTTAGACTGGTTTGTAATATACATTTTATAATTGTAAATACACTGGTTAGCGCAAATAGTTTTACCGTTTATGCACTACTGCACTTATTCGTCAACAGTGTTGGGGAAAGTTACTTTTAAAAGTAATGCATTACAATATTGCGTTACTCCATAAAAAAGGTAACTAATTACGTTACTTAGTTACTTTTTATCGAAAGTAATGCGTTACGTTACTTTTGCGTTACTTTAAAATCTGGACAGGGCTTGCTTGTTTGTTTTTAAAATCAAAAAGTTCTATTTTTGGCAAATATAAAAGCCTTTTCACACCAAAAGTTAAATTAATAAGCCTCAGGCTGAAGGAAAGTACATTTACGTCCGTACAGTAGAAAGCAGAAGAAATGTCAACACACTTCAGCAATAAAAAAAGGAAAAAAGTAATCTGATTACGTAACTCGCATTACTTGTAATATATTACCCCCAACACTGTTCGTCAAGTTATTTAATAATAATAAATGAATCGGAAGTCTCGCACATACAAAGAAACAATCTTAGCCTACTTCGTTGCATAATAGGCTATACAGTGGATATGTTTTAAAAAGGTCAGAAGTTGGTAAGAAATTTGTCTGTATAGCACTGTGGTGTTTTTATTTTCTTTTTTGTGTATTTCATTAAATGAGGAAGGGTAGGTCAAAATTCATGAAATCAATGTTGAGAAATATATATCAGATTCTTAAAATGCAGGTAATATAACTAATTGTCACCTGTCATCCTAATTTAAATAGAATATGCATCCTTGTGTGGGATCCCTTGGCAAATCCTGTCCACTGAGCTCCTCTCACAACTACGATGGATTTGTTACATTACTACTGACACTCTTGTAGGCGTAGCCCAGGTATAATGCTTCCACAAGAGGGCAGTGTACGCATCATGTTCTCATATAGTAAGCAGGTTCAATGCTTGAAAAGTGTTTGTGCAATATTGCATTTTAATATGCCACTTTGATATATTGTTATATCATGCACTGACTTGGCCCACTATATCTACTAAACATAAGTATTCACTGTGTAACTTCCTAGTTTATTATGACTGTTAAGATTCGGGAATCAGCTGTTTTGATGTAACAACATACTACAAAGATGATGAACTTCACATATACATGTTCTTCTTTCATAATTATGTAGGCTATATAACAAGGCTTGATCAGTATAAACATAAGTATTCACTGTGTAACTTCCTAGTTTATTATGACTGTTAAGATTCGGGAATCAGCTGTTTTGATGTAACAACATACTACAAAGATGATGAACTTCACATATACATGTTCTTCTTTCATAATTATGTATATAACAAGGCTTGATCAGTAACCATATTATTTGTGTAAATCTGAGTAACATCTTATTAATGCAAATTAATTCTAATTAAAAATAATCTACTAGCATACAAGCGATAATCTCCATCACTCACTCACACTCGATCAGTCATGTAAAAACACGCGCAGTATTACATTCATTCGTTGTAACATTAGGTATTGCAGCACTTTATCCGTTTATCACTGAATGTCTCAGCTTAATTCGAACGTTTTGTCATTCCAAGCTAAAGACTTTCTCTTGGCGAGCTCCATCCAGGACAGCTGAGCTCCATCTGACCATAGCTGCTGCTGCTGCTGCTGAGAGGCGTCTGTTGGTGATGATGAGGTTGCTGGAGGCTCAGATGTGACCGTAAGTACTATTGCAGAGGAACACACACACACAGACACACACACACACATACACACAATGTCAATACCAAATGGTAAAGCTTTGAAGAGGGAGAATAATACAAACAATTAAGAATGACAGTCAAAGCAGTGCTTTACCTTCTGTGGTATTGTTAGGTGTTGTGAGTCTTGCTGCTTTCTTTGTTGTGTCATCTTCTGCTGTACTGTTCCTGCCTTTGTCCTGCAAAGAGTAAATAATTCATTTTTTATTATTTCGTATAATTCTGGGTGCATTATATTATATTATATTATGAAAAATTACAAAATAAATATGTAATTTAATATAATTACAATATAAATGCAAATACTGTTTTTAATATGAAGGAGTTTTCTGTATTGATTTTTTCATTGTGTTGTGCTTTAGGGTCCTGGCAGAACATTACCAGGTAGCCTCTCTACAGATTTTTTTCTTTAAGTGTAAATTAGGGCTGTCAGTTTAACGCGTTAACTTAATTAATTAGTTACAAAAAAATAACGCGATTAAAATATTTTAACGCGGTTAACGCACTGGCCCCGCCCCCAGACCTATACACCATCTTACATTTCATACAGTTGACCGTTGACAAATATGATGCAGGGCAACAACTCCATAAATGCAGTTATGCCCTAAAATTCAAGATATTGGTGCAAAAAATGCCCCTTTATGTGTTTTTGTCTTGATGTGATTTTTTTTTGTGATTATTTATATCATACAATATCGATATCACAGGGAGATCAGTAGGCTATTACACGAGTGCTGTTTTTGACCCGAATATCACGATTTTAAATGCGATTTTATACAACAGTTCAGTAAGAAGTTGATATTGTGTTATATTTTAAACACAATATTATGTTTTTGCTCAATTTTGCAAAGAATATATTACCTTTAAAGCCACAGCATTGCACGTCTCCAAGCAACACAGCTGTGTTTAGTTTCTGAATGAATCCGCTTTTTGAACGAATCGTGTAAACCAATGATTCAAAGACCCATTCATAAAGAGAGCCATTTACTTCATTACTGAATGAATCAGCCGTTTGAACGAATCGACTGAAGACATTTACCGCCACCTCCTGGCAGATTTAGTTTATTTTAGAGTATAATTTAATTATTAATAATAATAATAGTAACAACAATAATAATAAAAACATTAAAGGGATAGTTCACCCAAAAATGTTTTATTCTGTCATCATTTACTCGCTCTCATGTTGTTTCAAACCTTTCTTTTGTGGAACATAAAGGAAGATATTTTGAAGACTGTTGGTACAAAGCTGATTTGGTTACCAATGACTTTCATTGTATGAACAAACAATACTGAGAGGTTTCTCAAATGATCTTCTTTTATGTTCCATAGTTTATGTTAGGCCGTTGTAGCCTAAATGTTTATGTGTAATAATTTTTTTTGTTGAATCAAATAAAATATTTCTAAAGCTACAATTTGTAATGTCTACTTGATACTTTCTCATTTAACAAAAATATCTTTAAATAACCTTTTGTGGGTATTTTCACAGTCAAATTAATTTTGCGATTAATTGTGATTAATTAGATTAATTAATCGAAACATCATGTAATTAATTAGATTAAAAATTGTAATCGACTGACAGCCCTAGTGTTAATATATTGAATATTCTATTTAAAATATAGTTATGAAGTTCAGAAGGCAGTATTTTATTATTGGTAGAGAATAAGCAATAAAAGAAAGAAGAAACCTGCTGTTTAGCTAAATGCGTTTTGTAGTCTCCAGTCATATGTTACCTGCCAGTCTTTTGTTCCACTAGGTGCTAGTTTTGTCGGAGGTCTCTGTGAGGTCTGTAGGCTGGCTGCTTTCGGTGGATGAAGCGAGGTGCTCAGTGGCTGTGTTTTAGGCTGTAAGGCTGGTTTGGGAGGCTGCGCAGGAGGAGCCGTTGGAGATGTAGGGTGGACTGGTGACTGATTTGTGGCCAATCTGCCCAAAAATGGCTGGTAGGCTCTGGTCTTCTCCCTGGCTAGACTCATCCAGCCCGGCTCAGACACAGCCTCTTTACTTGCTCCTGCTGTATTTTGAATAGATGGTCTTCCATCTGTAAAACAGTACTCAGTTTTATTAAAGCATATGTGATCATCCTACTCGCCCCGCTCCGAGCGGGATTCGAACCACGGTCTCCGGCGTGGGAGCTGGGTGCACTAACAAGGAGGCTAAAGACTAACGCTAATGCACTTTTTGAGATCAGGGGAGTGAGGTTTACCTGCACAGCACCTACCTCTGGCCTCCGTTACACTCATCCCCCTTAAACCTCACTCCCATCCGGGTCACGGCACCAATAGCCGCGTTTCCACTGTCGGGCCAAAAGCGGGCGTGCTAGTGCGTGCCAGGGCCAGTTGCGTTTCCACTGTCACTTCCGGGGCTTGATCGTGCCTCGTCCTCGTGCCTTCCTCGATTTTTTGGCCCGATGAAAACCTTGGGCCAAAGAAGCTTCTTATTCTCTATCACAATCGTGTATTTATTTAGTAACATATTTTATCTGTCATAAGTCTTGTCTCGAGAGTTTAGCTCCGCGTAGCCTATGTCATAAAAATAGAATAATGTTATTTGTTCGGGAGCTTTTTATAAAAATATAGAAATTATCAGTCTTTCTAAATGTGATGTAGGCTATATACTGTGACTACAAATAAACAAACAGACTCGACTGAATAAGTAGGTAGGCTTGATAAATTAATTAATTATGATCAATGTATCACTTATTATTGTAAAACATTAATGCTTTTGGATTTAAATCTTTAACAAAGCATGCAAACAAACGGCCGCTTTTATCATGTTCGTTTTGTGATCGCACTAGTTCCAGTAACTTATTTCTTATAACTTCTCTTTGTTGGTGAAATGACGGGGTTGCGTCGTGACATTGTTCCTGAGAGGCGTGTAAAGGGCGTGTTTTAGTGAAGTTTCTGGCCCGACGGTGGAAACGCAGCGTGATTTTGGCCTCGGTGCTACAGGTCCAAGTCTATTAGCCCCGCCCGGCCCATTTAAAGCACTGGCCCGACAGTGGAAAAGCGGCTAATGTAACAGGTCCCACTCGCCTGCTCCGAGTGGGTCTCGAACCCGGGTCTCCGGCGTGGGAGGCGGGTGCACTAACAAGGAGATGACAGTTACACTCACCCCCCCTAAAACTCACTCCCATCCAGGTCACGGCACCAATGTGACGGTTTTACTCGCCCCACTCCGAGCAGGATTCAAACCGCATTCTCCGGCGTGGGAGGCAGGCGCACTAACACAGCACCTACCGCTGGCCTCCATTACACATGCACATCTAAGAAGAATCATACATTTCACTTTGGTTTTTATGTTATGTCTCTGAAATTATCGCTTTTGCATAACTCTTAGCAATAAATATTACTTTTGGACAACGAATTTTGTTTACAATTTCCTCTGTGTTTTCATTGACTGATTTGGCTGTGCTGTTATTTGTATAAGGTTTTGAATGAGGCTGTCTATTGTAGTATCAACAATTTCAGAGAAAACCACTGCTTAATGGCACGTATATAAACAAACAGTGATTGGCTGCTGTATATGGTAGTCAGACTCTTACTGTGTATGTTAGCCTTTTTTCCAGTATATAGTCAAAACTCTGATTAAGCAACTTTTATACTAGAAGATGCTAACAAAATTAGTTACATTTATTGCTGCTTGAAGTACACTTTTGTATGGCTTTATGTTAGTCATATTACACATAGCAAATTGAAAAATCAGAATGCTATTTATTTAAGAACACTTTTGAGGGATTCTTAAAACAAATCGGCTCTTTCAACATTTTAATTAGGTAGGTAGGTTATTTTAGTATCATTGAGATACTGTTAAAGTTTTTATCAATATATTTTCATATGTTTTTATTTTATATTTTCTGTTTTCATTTCAAAATTCATAACTTTATTCAAAGTTTTAGTAACATTGTTGTGTGTTTTTGCCATTTTATTATTCTTTTAACATGTCTATATAGTTTATTTCAGTTTTAGTTATTTTAGTACAAAGTTTCACTAAATGAAAATGAGAAATGTTGCCTTGGCAACTAGCTGAAAGAAAATATATAACGAAAATATTTTTTTTATTACTATTATTATTTTTAAAGGATTTAGTTTTAGTTTTAGTTAAATAATAACTCTAGTTCAGTTATCTAGTTCCTTGAAAACTAAAATGTCGAATGAGCAAATTTAACACATACTGTATATAACAAGAAGAAAAACATTTGCACTCACTGTCTTGGGCAGCAAGCAGAGAGTCCAGATTCTGTAGATCTAGTTTTTTGGGAACGCTGGTTTTACTCTTGGAATTGGTTTCTGCTTTTCCAGCATGCTCTTCTGAGACTTCTGTCACTGTATTAGACTCTAAAGTGTACCGTTTGGTTTCATCCTTGATTTTGGAAACATCCGAGCGATATTTTAGTGACAGAGAGGTTGTGCGGAGCTGCACCCCAAAAGCATTCTTCCTGTCTTCAGGTTCCTCTAGTTTCCCTGTTTCCAAATGTTCTGCAGTGGTATCTGCCTTCCTAAGATTGGTTCCCGTTATTGGTTTGGACATAATAGGAGGTGGTACTTCTCTGTGAAAACTGCTCTTCGTCTTTTGCGTTTGATGGAGGAGATTCTGGAGCTCTGTTGGTTTTGTCTCTCTCTCTTCATCTTTCTGCAACTCTGGATTGGGTTTGATGGGTTGGGTCTTGATTCCTGGAGAATGTTTCAAATGTCCCTCATTCTGCTTTGTCTGAGTGGTTGGTTTGGAGTGATGCTTTGCAGATGCAATTAAAAATTGTAATTCTTCAGCGTTAAGCGTCCTGCTAACCAGTTCGGGTGCAGTTTCTACTCCAGCTTCCCAAGGTTTCATTGAAGCCTCTGCGGCTCCTTTTGGAGACGGAGGGCTCCTTATATCTATTTTAGGCTTTTTTAAGCGAGGCAGAGGTACGGGATGTAGTCTAAATGTTGATTCCTCTTGGATGGTGTCGTTTCTATCTGTGACAGACACATGATTCTCACTTGTTTGAATCTGGATATCGTTTATATCATGTGTCTGGATAGGTGAATGGGCTCTTAATGACTCTATTTCTCTTTGTGGTGTAGAAGATTCTGGAAGTCCTAAAGGTGACGATGGACCTGATGAGATCAAGCCAAAGGACATAGGCTGCAAATAAAGAGGGTTTGTGGTGACTCTCCCTTCAGTTTCAAGAGACTCTTCTGACTTCAGGATTTCAACTCCCAGAGATGGGAGATTGATGTCAGTTCTGTTAGGGTTCTCCTCCTGGTTCTGTGCTGATGCTGCAGGAGTTGTTTCTGTAGGTTCTGGAGAGGTGGGTTTCTCTGTTAGCTCCAAAGTCAGAGAGTACAAGCAATGGTGCTCAATCTCAGTGGATGTCATGGTTTCATCATCTTCCTCCTCAGACAGAACGTTATCCAAATCACTGATGCTTTCTGAACGATGCCTGGGAGAAAGAGATACCTGGGAAAGAGAGTTTGTTTGTTTGTTTAAAACAGTAGTTTAAAATCAGCAGTGACTAAGTATTTGTAACTTTTTGCAGATGCTATCAGTGATAAGTGATCTTTGTGTTCTCCATGTGTACCCCTCACACCATGTCGAATTTAGGCTTTACACCAGAAGTGTCAAAGCTTCATGTCGTCTCAGATTATTCTATACCAATGGACCAGTGTTATTTTAGTATTATTTATATACTATTATAGTATTTATTAATATTTTGAATTAGCAATCTTGTTATGTGCTTTTGTCATTTTTTTATTTCTATATAGCTTTAATTGATTTTTATTTTAGTTTTAGTAATTTATGCATTTTAACTTTAAACTTATTTTAGTTCTCATTTAGATTTTTCATCCAATATTATTTATATATTTTTTTATTCCAACTTCATTTCGATTTATTTATTTTTAGTGTTGGGGGTAACGCATTACAAGTAACGCGAGTTACGTAATCAGATTACTTTTTTCAAGTAACTAGTAAAGTAACGCATTACTTTTTAATTTACAAGAGAATATCTGAGTTACTTTTTCAAATAAGTAACGCAAGTTACTTTTTTTTCCAATTTATTGATTGACAGCTCTCCTGTCCCCATGTTGAGAGAAATCAGAAGATGTTACTGTAGTTCTAAAATAAATATGAATATGCATTAATTCATCTCACTCACAAAAAAAAAAAAAAAACCACACAGATTCAGTATTCCTCAAAATGAATAAAATAATTCAACTCAGGATATGACGCAAACCTGTCTTAAATGTTAAACAACACAAATATCCTTTACGTATTTAATCCCATTTGTTAACCAATGTCTTTGCTTCTGACCTTCGATGATCCAGTTCAACCATAATAATAAGCAAAAATGACTCTAGACAAACATTTGTGTGTCTTTTTTTATTGCTGAAGTGTGTTGAAATTTCTTCTTCTGCATTCTACTGTACGGACGTAAATTTACTTTCCTTCAGCCTGAGGCTTATTCATTTCACTTTTGGTGTGAAAAGGCTTTTATATTTGCCAAAAATATAACTTTTTTATTTTAAAAACAAACAAGCAAGCCCTGTCCAGATTTAAAAAGTAACGTAACGCATTACTTTCCATAAAAAGTAACTAAGTAACATAATTAGTTACTTTTTAATGGAGTAACGCAATATTGTAATGCATTACTTTTAAAAGTAACTTTCCCCAACATTGATTTTTAATAGTTTTAGTTTTAGCTGACAATAACAACACTGTGATGGACCAGTTGGCTATAAACTCAAGATCAGAAATCAGCAACAGTACTACTTTAAATTAGACTTGAGTTATTTTAAAATATAATTTTTTAACTTTAGTTAAAGGATACAACTGAACACATGATAGCTGTAAATAAAATAATAATAATAATAATAACTATAAATAATTATAAAATAAGCACTTGTAGTGTGAACAGCATCATCGATCACAATGGGAGGGATCTAGTTTTTACAAATCCTGTATAAACGCCGTGTCAGATGAATTCTATTTAAACGACTTTATGCTCTTTAAATCTGATTATACATACAGCTTCATCTTACCGTTGGCACTCGTTTTCCCCTTGTACTGGCTCGTTGGTTCCTTGGTTTGACTGACATGCGATGCCGGGCAGCTGAGTTATCCAACCTGGGCATGTAACTTGCAGAGCTACTGAAGTCAACTCCTGCAGTGGGCGTGGTCGAGGTTGAGGCGGGAGAGATGATTGGCTGAGGGGACAGTTTGGAGACTGGGGATAGAGGCCTTGATGATGGCTGGAAAGGATCCCCCTGGATGAGACAATATTTGCTGCTGTCACATATAATGTATATTTTTAGAATTATTATTATTATATGTATTAGTATTATTATTATTATTATTATTATTATTAT